GTGCACGTAGGAGGTGGAGCCAAGTAGCTGTATTTTTCACTTACCCCGTAGATATTTCCTCCCCTGGGTTGGGAAGCACACAGGTATGTGTGCTGTATCTGCTGCCTGCGGTTGTTGGCAGGTGCCCTTGCATTGGTTCCGACTCATAGGGACCCTAAAACTGCTTCTGAGGATGCCGAGACTGGCACTCCGTACAGGAGTAGAAAGCCCTGTCTCCCACGGAGAGGCCGGCGGTTTCAAGCCGTAGACTATCAACGATACACAAGGCAGGAAAGAGCGGAAAGACCAAAGTAAATGTCAGCAGAGACTCTGAAGCTTGCTCTTAGTTGGAGAGTAGATAAGGCACATGGAAGAAATGATGAAGTCAATGAGAGTAACAGAAATTTTCAAAAGGCACCTTGAAAAGACAAAGTCAACTATTATAATGAAATGGGAAAAGTCCTAGAGTTAGAAAAACCGAAGAGAAGAGTATGCTCAGCATATCTTGAACTAAAGAAAAATTTAAGCCTCAAGTTGCAATATTAAAAGATTCCACGGGCAAAATATTGGATAATGCTCACCATCCAAAGAAGATGGAAAGAATACACAGAGTCACTCTACCAAAAAGGGTTGGTCGACGTTCCGCCATTTCAGGGAGCATAGCATATGAACAAGAACCCAAAGTACCGAAAGACGTTCAAACTGCACAGAAAGCATTAGTTAAAGACAGGGCGGCAAGTGATTGGAGTGAAATGCCTCAACAAGCGGATGAAACACTAGGAGCACTTACTTGTCTATGACAATAGCTACTGGGCCAGCGGACTGGAAAACATCCAGATTTGACCCCATTCCAAAGAAAGAATTCTCAACTTATAGAACGATATCATTGATATCACATGCAAGTAAAATTTTTCTGAAGACCATTGACTGTGTGGATTATTACAAACTATGGATAATCTTGAGAAGGAGAGGGATTCCAGGACACTTCCTTCTGCTCGTGTAGAACCTGCCCATGGAGCACGAAGCAGTTGTGCAAAGAGAAAAAACAGAGTACGTCATGGCTTAAAATCGGGAAAGGTGTGTGACAGGGTTGTATCCACTCACCATCCCTGTGCAATCTGTATGCTGAGCAATCATCAGAGAAGCTGGGTTGTGTGAAGAAGAATGGGGCATCAGGATCGAAGGAAAGCTGATTAGCAACTTGTGATATGCAGATGACACACTTTGCTTGCTCAAAGTGAGGAGGACTTGAAGCACTTGCTGATGAAAATCAAGGAGTGAACTTTCAGTATGCATTACAACTCAATGTAAAGAAGACCAAAATCTCACAACTGGACCAATAGGTAACAGCATGATAAGTGAAGCAAAAGTTGAAGTTGTCAAGAATTTTAATTTGAGGGAGGAGTCAAGATGGTGCCCAGAATTGGGAGTGCGCATACAGACCCCACCACTGCGCACCGAACCAGGAGGGCAACGTAACCACGTGGAGGATTGCATGAAAAGATTGGGCTACCAAAGCCAATCTGCCCCCCCCACCAAGTATGTGCCACAGAGAACAACACTACATCTTCAGGTGGGGAAAGGAGCCATCTTAACCACGCCCACATGGAAGCAAACTAAGAAGGAAAAAGAAAAAGGGACAGTCCGCCTAGACCCCGTATTGGCACACCAAGCCCAGAGGACCATGTCCCTGCATGGAACTGCTAAGGCACAGAGAGGACTGTAGGACCGACAAACACTCAAGACATGTTGTCCCCTAACTGGAGCTTTCTGTGACAGAAGACAATAATGGGGACACACGTGGGGAGATAATGTGGCCTGGATCCCCCGCAGTGGGACAAACCAAGAAGGGAGCATAGCAGATCAGCAATTGGAACAAAGCCAATCCACATAACCCCTAAAGAGCCCCCCAAATAGACTTCATGACAGACTAAAGGTGAAGCCCCTGAAACTCCCCCAGGACCAAGGGGGAGAGATTCATAAAGGCCAGTAGACACACCTGGAACTATTTATGGTTTGTTTGTTTGTTTGTTTCTCTCCTTCAACCCTTTGTTTTCTTATTTTTTGCTGGTTTGCCTACTTATATAAGATACAACAGGGCCAACGACCCCCGAGGGTCTTTGGGGGAGAAGGTGGCGACGGGGGTGGGGTGGGGGGTGGTGGTGGAGGGTGTGGTGAGCAAACAACGCCATAGACAGGGGAACAACTAGGGAATTAAAACCAGCACCTAGGAGGTTGTAGAGATCCTGTGGGTATTAGAGCAACAGCAATCTAGCTGAGAGGAAGTACTAAGAGGTGGAAGAAGAGGGTACGTGATGGTGGGGCAGGAGGAGGCAAAAGGAAACAGAGGAAAGCTCTAGGAAGCAAAGCTATAGATAGAGGTGTTAACAGAGGTGTGTACTTATGTAAATACATTAATCTCTAAAAATAGAGGTATTGGCCTATGTACATATATTTATAAGGCAATACACTGAGGCTGCGGAGGGGCCTTGGGCCTCAGCTCATAGCCTCCCTCAATACAAGAACACTTTGTGCTAACAAAATGGCATTTTATGATGCTCACCTCCCACTCCTGGCACAACCACTGAAGACAAAATGGGTACATCAGCAAATGTGGTGAAGATAGCGGATGGTGCCGGCTATTAAAAGATATAGCATCTGGGGTCTTAAAAGACTTGAAGTTAAACAAGTGGCCATCCAACAGTGAAACAAGCCCACCTGGAAGCACACCAGCCGGTGTGATCATGAGGTGTCATCGGGACCAGGTAACAGGCATAAGAACATTCATAACAAACAACAAGTAATTAAACAAAAACACACTAGTGAGAATGAGGGGGGTCAAAGCGGAGACCCAAAGCCCATCTGTAGACAATTGAACATCCCCCCCTCAGAGGGGTTGCAGGGAAGGGATCGGTCAATCAGGTTGTAGTAGATCACCAATGGATTACACAATACACCTCTGATTCCTTGAGGCTTCCTCACTCCCCACTATCATGACCCCAGTGCTGCTTCCCACTCTGGACTGGACTGGAACATGCCCATAGTTATAGGCAGAGATAAAGCTCATGACACATGGAACCCAGGAGCAGGAATGGGAATAGCAATACCAAAAGGGTAGGGGGGAGGTGGGAAAAGGAGGGAAGGAAGGGGGACCGATCACAATGAATGGCACATAATCACACACACACCCCTGCAGGGGGAAGAACAACAGAAACCAGAGGGGAAGGGAGACAGCAGTTGGTGTGAGATTTGAAAACAATTAACAATCTACAATCTATCAAGGGGCCATGAGTGTTGGGGGTGGGGGCAGGAGGGG